CCCAAAACACGCTAAAATGTAAAACCTACGAAGGTGGACCAGTCCTACCAGATTAAACCACACTATAAGACTCCATAATTAACACAGAGTGCTATTTACAGACCAGCAGAATAGAATGGAATAGAATAGAAAAGATCAGATCTAAGTAAATGTGGAAACAGTAAGGTGGCATCATAAATCACAGAAGCAAAGGTGAACTTTTTAATCAACGTCGCTGGCCCAACTGGGTGACCACTTAGAAAAAGAATACCATTAGATTCTTTTTTTTTTTTTTAAGATTTTATTTATTTATTTGACAGAGAGAGAGAGATCACAAGTAGGCAGAGAGACAAGTGGAGAGAGAGTGGGAAGAAGGCTCCCTACGGAGCAGAGAGCCCAATGCATGGCTTGATCCCAGGACTCCGGGACCATGACCCAAGCAGAAGGCAGAGGCTTTAACCCACTGAGCCACCTTGGTGCCCCGAGAATACCATTAGATTCTTATCTCCCACACACATAAGAATAAACTCCACACTGATCAGGAAAGTAAATATTTTTTAAAATGCATATAGAAAATAATTTAATAAATTAAATTTTTAAAAATATGCTGAATGTCTCTATATACTTAGTGTAAAGGAAAGCTTTCTAATATTGACAAAGTCCAGGGGCAATCAAAAAAATGATTAATAAATCTACATAAATTTCTTCAATTGCATGGTCAAATAACTTGCATGTCTAATCAGACTAAAACACTTGAAGCATATATCATAGATGAAAGGTTAATATCCATAATATATAAAGAGCTTTTAAAATTTGAGGGAAAAAGGACCAAAACCTTAACAGAAAAATTAGAAATATATATGCACAAAAAACATAATCCATAAAATACAAAAGAGTCTTAAACATATACAAAGATGTCATCATTTGCCATCACTCACAATTTAAGAAATGCAAATTACCCTTGAATATGATTTCTTACTTACCTGATTGATTAAAACTTAAAAGTCTGACAGCACATTCTGTTGTGAAGCTGAGGGTGCTCCCATTTATTTCTGTGGGGAATGCAAATTGCTACAACTCTTTTGGAAGAGAATTTGAAAATATCAACAAAACCACCTATGCATTGACCTTTTGATCCAGTAATCCCATTTTAGGAATTCACCCTGACCAGACACCCCCCAACAATATGAAAATACATAAGCACATACACAGTAGCATTGTTTACAAATGCAAAATTTTGGAATTAACTTAAATGCCCAAATATAGGCAATATGTTGAATAAACAATGACATATCCACACAACCCAGCACAATGCAGCAATAAAAAAGTATGAGGGGCGTTTCTAGGAGCTGACATGGAATGATTTCTGGGATATTTTACTGTTAAGCAAAGAAAGTCAGACACAAAAGAATGCTAACTTTCATGTAAGAAAGCAGGGTAAATAAGAAAACACTCATTCTGCAAAAGTATCAACCAGAAATGAATGAGACGGCTTACCCACAGGAGGTGGGTGAGAACAGAGCAGAAAGGAGAGGGAGACTGGGGGTGGGCTGGGGAGAATGACAGTTCTCTGATGTACCTTTTTTCAGAGTCTCCTCATGTTATAATAATTAAGTCAACAAATGTCAGATTCAATTCTTTTAAAATCACAAAATTATTACCTGGCATGATGTCTGCTGTTTCTTGATTTTCAGATTCTGAATCGTTTATTTTTTAATTCACTACCTTTTCTGCGAATTTACCATGGGTGGAGTGCTAGGCTACGTACTATGAAAACTGGAAAATAGATAAAGATACTGTAACCGCAAAAACCTTGTGTTCCACATAATGTCTTATGTAGAAAACAAACCAAAATATTACAGATGTACAGAAAGCTGAAAGAAAGGCAAAAAAAGAAGCAATCTCAAAATCAGAAATCTTATGGTATAGAAACAGTTTGCTCTAAGTATACATCTTAATTCTAATCTCTTCATTATTTTATGCCATAGTTTCTTCTAAAAATTAAAGAGAAAGACATACTAAAATCATTAACACAATGTTAAAGAATGTAAGTCCAGTAATGAAGTAGAGTAATGAAGTCCAGTAATAAAGTTGCATGGGAAAGAAAGTTAGATAAATAAAAGCAACAATTTAGAGGAAAAAGTTATTGATGAACTACCAGAAGAGAAGCCAAAAAAGGAAAAAGCACTAAGTCACAGAGACCTTATTATCTAATGAAAAAGGCAGATCAGTTTATCAATTGAATGCATTGCCCAACACTGATGAACCTGAGGTCTGCCATGACCTCTTTAACACAAAATGCAATGAATGTCTGTATAAGTAAGCCTCCGGTAGTAAGGTTCTCCGTTACTTCCAGTGGAAAGCATTTCCAGCTAATCCACAATCTGTCAACCAGATTGGATATGACTGTTTCAAACACCCTAATATAAAATGTTATTAACCTAAATAGTTCCATCAGGGGTGCCTGGGTGGCTCAGTGGGTTAAGCATCTGCCTTCAGCTCAGGTTATGATCTCAGGGTCCTGGGATTGAGCCCCACATCAGGCTCTCTGCTCAGCAGGGAGCCTGCTTCCCCCCTCTCTCTGCCTGCCTCTCTGTCTACTTGTGATCTCTCTCTCTCTCTCTGTCAAATAAATAAATAAAATCTTTAAATAGTTCTGTCAGTCGGAATTAAAAATAAACAAAACAAGGTAAACGAACAAACACTGTGTTTATAGAAGCTGGAAACCCTGGGACTGCCCTCATATTCAGGAGGTTTCAGATCTCAAGGAGGAAAGAAAAAATGATCGAAAAGCTGGATCCAACAGATCCAGCAGACCCTAGGGTTCTGGTTGACAATGGACAGATGAGTTTGGAGGTCAAAGAGAGTCCAGCCATCTGTTAAAAAATTGGCTGAAACACAGGTCACATATCCAGGATCAGAGCGAAAAGACAAAAGAAAGCAGATGTTTGATGAACTTATAAGACAAAACATGTGACTCTCTGGATCAGATTTTACATGTAATAAAAGTCCATGAAAACCAAATTATTTTTATTCTCTTTAATAATATCCTGCTTTACTCTCATGATTCTCGGGAGTTTCATTCTGAGAAATGAGACATTTATTTTTTATGTTGTTAGAATCCTGGCTTTTACTTTTATATTTTATTATCATTTAAATCCTTAATCTAAATATGGCAGATAATAACAAAATACCTGATGATTGTTTTGAACTATGGAAAATGGCTAAAATGAGACAAAGCCGAAGGTTGTTGGGTCTTACTGTTAGTTATATACCCTCTTGGATTTTTCAAAATACTAATATCCACCTAAAACTAGTTGTTCCATGCTTAAAAGAATAAGAGAAAGTCCAAACCTAGTAAAAATCATAAATTCAAAGAGAGATATGAATGGTAGTTAGTGGGACCAGAGAAGTGATTTTACTTTTGCTGTGTTAATACAGATTTTTATTTTATTTTAAATGAGCAGAAATTAAGGAAAACCTAGACCAAATCTATGGCAACATACCCTTTTTGAATCACCAATTCACATGGCTGATTATTTCTGAGGTGGACACAGATCACAGGTCCATCAGAGGGTCTCACAGTGGCCAGTCGAGGAAGAAGAGCCCACTAAGCTTGCTTATGCAAGTCTCAGAATACATGCACATCATCCACATTTGAAAAAACAAAACAAAGTTTACAGGGTACTCAGGCAACCAGTCTGAAAGCACACCATCACTGCACACGACACCCACTGGCCTTCTAGTCCAGCAGTCTCCTAGGCAAAGCTGCCCCTCACATGGTCTATTCTCTAAAGAACTGGGAAGAACTGAGTTAGTATTGGTCTTATATCCTAAATTCTCCCTCCCTTTTTACCTCATTAGAAAGCAATACAATTTCTGTCTCCTTCCCTCTCGACCACATCTTTTCTTCTAACCCTCCAATTCCAGGAAATCATCAACTCTTCTTCTCCCTTCTTGGCCTTTACACCGTCTTTGACCTTGTAAATAACATTGCACTGTAGAATAGAGCCTCTACCAACACAGAAGATAGTCGCCTGGGAAGTTTATGTACATACAACTCATCATAACACAGAAGACTAAACCAAAATGGCCATCAGATAAATTCCGTGTCTAACAGCACTATCCTGCATTTATTTTATAGTCACTTCTGAATTGTCTGATTCTGACGACTGAATAGAAACAGCAAATTACATAGTCCGATACTTTGAAGAAGCAGAAAGACTGGAGCAGACCAGGCAACAAAACAGCTGCCTGATGCTGAAAGGGGCAGAGTCGGGGCAGATCTGAGACAGAAGACCTCACGCTGGCCAGTCTTCGGCACAAAGGAAATACCAGTTGTTACTGCTGGAGGCAGTAACATCATAAACTCTGAAAATTGGGAAGGACCTGAGAAATCTAGTCACGTCTCTTCCCATTGTAGGAACTTCTCCTACCCTATCCTACAGTGATGATGCAGTCACTGTATGAACGCAAGGACTGCCTCACTGCCGTAAAAGGAAGCCCATTTCATTTTGTAAAATGTTTTTTAGGAAGCTCATTCTTTTTTTTCTTTCTTCCTTTTCTTTTCTTTCTTTCTTTCTTTCTTTCTTTCTTTCTTTCTTTCTTTCTTTTTTTTTGGGGGGGGGGACAGGCAGAAATCACAAGTAGGCAGAGAGGCAGGCAGAGAGAGAAGGGGAAGCGGACTCCCTGCTGAGCAAAGAGCCTGATGCGGGGCTCGATCCCAGGCCCCTGAGATCATGACCTGCGCCGCAGGGAGAGGCCTAACCCACTGAGTCACCCAGGTGCCCTAGGAAGCTCATTCCTGAAGAGTCAAAAACTGCTTCTCTGTAACTCTGATTTCTTGATGCTGATTCATTTATTCAACTGGCACTTAGCAGTGATTCCGTAAAGATAAAACACATTGATAAAATCTTCATCCCTCTATAGAGACAAAGACACGAACAGGAATAAAAACAAAGCACCAACTGCCTTTCCTTCCAGTCTCCCTTTCTTCATTCCCAAGCCTCAGTACCACTTACCTGAATCACACCTCCCAAGAAGGAAACAGCTGCGGCAACACCAATCCTTCGCAGCTCGAAGTCCGATAAACCCAGTGTGCTTGTGTTACTCTGTGTGGTGAAGTTCTGGCTGCTCAGAGGGACAAGCCGTTCCACTGCGTTGGCTGATATTAAGGATGTCAAGGCGAAGGTGCCTAAGAGGGGGTGGGGGTGGGGGGAATCTTCTGTTAGTGATGGACTCAAGAATAATGGTTAGATTCCACCATTGAAGTTGAGCACATGGTGTAAAACTAAACAGATCTATTGGATACACTCTTTTCAGCACCCCGACTCCTCCATCCTTCACTCCACTCCACGGAAAAAGCAGAAACTTTCCTACAGATACACACAGTCCTTCAACATATGACCACACCCAGCTCCTTACTCTTCCCAGATCCTATGTACATTTTCCCACCACTCTGCAGACCTGCACAGAGAGTATCCTCAGGACAGGGATTAAGATCACAGTTTAGGCTTGCATGCAAATCCTCTATTTATCAATAATGTGACTTAAAGTGCATGACCCTGAGTCTCCATTACTTCACCCATAAACTGCAGATGATAATACCTACCTTTCAGGACTTGGGGGAAACATAAATGAGATGATAATTGTGAAAACCTCACTAGGCTCAGTGGTTAACTGTGAACTCTTCCCCTTCAGTATTAGCTCCATGCAACTCATTTCAGACTTCTGACTTCTAAAACTATAGGATAATAAATTTATCTTGTTTCAAGCCACTAAGCTCCTGGTAACTTATTATATTGGAAATAGGAAACCAACGCAGTCAGTGACACAAACTGAAATGACACAAAGTGAAGAAACAGACACATACTTACAGGCTGAGATCTTAAGCACACAAAATAAATAGAAATGCCTCTATGGCTATTTCTGTTAAAAGTATTTTTTTATCATTATTACCTTAATATTTAAGATTAAGGTATCATTTCTGTAATAATAATAACTAACTTACTCTTATGTAGCAAGTACTAAATTAGACACTATACATCAATTATCTCATCTAATTCTAATTATAGTCATATGAATTTTTTTTATTTCACTATCCAGAAAGCAGCAAATAAGCCTTTGAAAGGTTGTCCAAGGTCATGCAGATAGCAAACAACAAATAAGACATATACCCAGAACCATCTCACTCTACAACCAAGTTTTTAACCAGTTTGTTCTATTATCAGACTATTTGTGATAGTTCACATTTTATTTAGTAAGGCAGAGGTAAGAGATATACTAATTAAAGGGCATTATATGTCTGTTAGCCATTTGTATGTCTTCTTCGAAGAAGTGTCTATTCATGTCTTCCACCTATTCTTTGACACAGTGGCTAACTGAACATAATAAAAAAATTAAAAAAAATAAAAATGAATAAAAGGCATTATGGAATCTAGCTTGGACGAAATCTAAAAGATCATTGAGTCTAAGCACCAATTACATAAAAAATGTTTTTTAACATTGGAGTAAATAAATTCAATAGTTTTTTCTTTCCCTTAAAGAGCTTACCTTCTCTCATTTCATTGTAAATTCAGAATGTATGCCCTTCTTTTATGACCTTTTTGCAACTTAAAAATGCAAAGAATTTTTAAAATAATCTTGATTACATAATAATATAGCAATAAGTCACAGTACATATTGAGTGAGGCACAGAGAGTTAAATGTCATGTTCCAATATTTGCTGAGGTTTTCAGAAGTAAAGTTAGAATTGCTTTGGAAATGTAATCAGTAACTAACGAGCATTTTTTTTTAATTATTTATTTATTTGTTTTAGGACGCGAGATTGCATGTATGCACTCGCACAAGCATGGAGGGCAGAGAGTAAGGGTCTTAAGCAGTCCGTGCTCAGTGTGGAGCCCCAGTGTGGAGCTTGATCTCATGACCTTGAATCACAGCCTAAGCTGAAACCAAGAGTTGCAAGCTTAACCAAATGTGCCACTAATGAGCACAAATGCACCCCTCTAATGAGCACTTCTGAGTCCTTTCCATTAGTAGCATGAGTAGCATAAACAGAGAGAGAAATTATTACCTGTAGCAACATGACGTCCCATTCCAAATATGGCATAAATGATGGCAGGAAACAGAGACCCGTATAAACCAAACACAGGATGCACGGATGAAAGAATCGCAAAGGCCAACCCTGTCAAGCAGACCCAGGTAATTAGGACCTTCTTAAAACTCCAAGATACAGTCCACTACAAAGCAGAATGGATATTTATTTTAGTGACTAAAGGAACTACGACTTAATTATCCCACTCGCTCAGTGAGATTCTAGAGTTACCATCCTAACTAACTAGAAATTCCCTCATTTAGTTCATATTTAAATTTCAGTTCTAAAAACCATTATTTTGGGACCACTACCTTTCCCCTCGATTACAGAGACGTCTACAAGAAAAGACTGGCCCAGAGAATCTTCCTGGTAAAAGTGATATCAACCTAAGGCAAAATATCTCCACACACACTTCGAGAAGCATTTCTACAGTTTTGGGGGATCATTTTATTGGCACAGTAGCATCTGTGGGGTAGGCAGGACTAGCAGCATTACTGCCAACAAGGGTCAGGAAAGCTGGGACAAGAAGGACACACACTCAAGGCTGCCTGGCTGGCCGCTGGCCGGCTGATCTCAGACTGTGTCACAGTAGCAGGGCGACGTGTGAACTGAGGCACTTCCCATGCTGGATCCCAAACTATTTCAGCTCTAGTTTCTTAGAGTGAAAAAAAAAATCAACTTTGTTTATTCAAAGAGTAGGTAAGGAGTAACCCATAACTGTTCATTTTTATTCCTCATCGATACCACTGCCTACATAGTTTGTATGTTACATACAAATAGATAATTTTCTTAGACGTGTCTAAATGACCACTAGTGGTTTATATGTGACCAAAATACATGTGAGTACGAGCTCATTAAAGTGATCTTGCTGGTCATGGCTAGTTCAGCTAGGTTCTGACATATCCATCCAAGTTATACAATTTATTGATAAGCATTTGATTGAACATAATGCATTTTAGAAGGTACAAAGGGACTTGAGGAAGGAGGTAGCATTAGAATCTAGATTACCTGCATATGAGGTTCATTCATTATTCACAGTATGGTTCTAGGATAAATACTTTTTACTGTTTAACTTTTACTGTTTTAAAATTAAGTTTAAAAATTTCTTTTTTAGGGGCGCCTGGGTGGCTCAGTGGGTTAAAGCCTCTGCCTTTGGCTCAGGTCATGATCCCAGGGTCCTGGGATCGAGCCCCACATGAGGCTCTCTGCTCTGCAGGGAGCCTGCTTCCTCCTCTCTCTCTCTCTCTCTCTGCCTGCCTCTCTGCCTACTTGTGATTTCTCTCTCTCTGTCAAATAAATAAAATCTTTAAAAAAAAATTCTTTTTTAATAAATAAGTGGTAGTTATACATCAAATATGTTTTTCAAGCACTACAAGACATTTTAGCTTTACTTAAAATACGTAAAATGTTTACCAGTGACCATCCCTTCTTTATTTTAAAAAACCCATCTGGGGGCACCTGGCTCATTCATTAAATGTCTGCCTTCAGCTCTGGTCATAATCCCAGGGTCCTGGGATCCAGCCCTACATCGTGCTCCCTGCTTGGCAGGAAGCCTGCTTCTCCCTCTCCCACTCCCCCTGTTTGTGTTCCCTCTCTCTCTGTGTCTCCCTCTGTCAAATGAATAAATAAATAACTTTAAAAAAATTTTTTTAACTTAAAAAAAAATTGTATTGCTATTTACTTACAATGTATTCCTAAATGTCTGGTAAAAATAAATAAAAAGTGATTCTAGAAGGTTCAGTGGCAGACTCTGCTCTAGAATTTCATACATGCAGGATGAGAGGCAACATTCTGGATTTAGGAAGGACGATTTTAAGTGTTACTCCACGCTACCCCCCAAAAAGCCCCTCCTGGCATTTATAGCTTATGCAACTTTGCAAAAATTGTACATTATATCAGTCACACAGAAAGCTAGAAAAAACTTTTCCTTTTCATTTTCAGAATGAGTTACCTGAAAAAATTACCTATCAAGAAACAGAATGCTGAGTGTTTCCAGGTAAGGAAAAAATGTGGCCCATATTTCGGAAGACCCAGATCTACTAAATCAAGGATGGGGGTAAAGGAAAATTGCACGCAGCATCTTTAACAAAAGATGGATGAATTATACACACATGAAATTTTGATAAATGCGATAAATATCAACAGGATAAGAGTTGCCCTGTTTGGCTACATTTGTATTCTATCTGCAACAGAAAATGTATAGACAGACCTAGAAGCAGTGAGATCCTCACCTCTTGCCTAGTGAACAGCCAACTATTTACCTGTTAGCTTTATTAATTCCTTTCTCTCTCTGCCTCTCTCTCTCTCTCTCTCTTTCCCTCTCTCCCTCCTTCCAGTTTCCCTCTCCCTCTTACCCCCAGTCTTTCTTTAGCCCCCCCGCAATATCTATATATAGCAAAATCCATTCAAAAACAGAATTTCTTCAGATCTCATACTCTTATCAAATTAAAATCAGGATAATCATGTAAAACATATTTAATCCAAATCTTTAAGAGCTCTCTAAACCTAAAAATGTAAAATATTACTTCAGTAGATTCTACAAAAACAACCTCAAAAAACAGAAATACTGTTGTAGCCATTTCCTTCCTCTCATCTGACACCGATACTGAGCTTTCCCTTTGAGCAACAGTGTCCTTCACCCTCAGCCAGAATCTGCTTCTTTGCTAAGATGGCAATGAGGAATGGATGAACACAGATAAACAGTGCTTTAAAATACTCTTTCCACAAATAAGAACCATAAAACCCAAGCCATCCTCCCACACACACCTCCAAAATATACAGGGGCCTGGGTAAAGTTTTCTTATTCTGTCTGATTCTTTTATTATTCTGGGCCACAAAATAAGCCACATACACATTTTCATACACACACATTCACCCAGCTAAAATATGGTAAACACTTCAAAAATGATGAAAATATTAACTAGTTCGAGTCACTTACAAATTACCAGAATTATCTATACTCTTCTCCATGTTTATGAAACAGGGAATTTAATAAATTAAGAGCAGGATTACAACTCTCTAATTCTAGTATTTGGGGAGGAAATACTGCAAATGTTAATAAATATTTGTATTACCTAATCTAACTTAGACTAGAAGAGAAACAAGAGGACAAAAGTAAGGATCAAGAAATAAAAACAAAATACTTATCAGGCCAAAGGGTGCCAAAGGGGGATAGGAAAGAAAGAGCAAAAGAAAGGAGATAGAGAAGGAAAGGAAACAGAGATAGGAAAGAAACAGAAGCAAAGGGGAAAGGGAGAGAGAGAGAGAGAGATTGGAGGACAGAGCCCAAACCTTAAAGTCTTTAGAGGGGTGATTATTTTTAAAGATCATTTTAAAAATCATTTTAAAATCATTTTAAAAATCATATATTGGTATATATTGGTAAGGCAAGTCTGATGTAACCACAAAAGAATGGTCACTTTCTGAAGGACTGAAAGATGTGGTTTTTTAAGAAAACATGTTTTGTAGGTGTAATAATGGCTCTAATAGTACAGAAACAGAACGGACTCTTTATTCCCACATCAACACCATCACTAGCTTCAGGGCCTATGAACACCACCAGACTTTGAGGGGCCCTGAGCATGATGTCACACATTTCCCACCATTCCCCTTGCCCCTAAACCCCAGCTGCAAGGAAAATGGCTTCCCTAACACAGTGCCTGGCCCATGAGGGAGAGGGAGCACCAAAGCTGGTAGGTCACTCTTGAGTCTCTGCCTCTGCTCCTGATCTAATCTCTTGGTTGAAATGGCTAGAAAATCACACTGTCACTATTGGTGAGAAAGAGAACTGTTTATCACAGAGAAGACAATGTTCAATACTTGAAGATACAGATTTTTATTTCCCTGTCAGCCATTTTATCCGGATTTACATGATAGCAATTATTCAGAAAAATCCAAGAAGCCTGGAATTGCAAAAGATCACGTCTAAAAATTAAGTAATGTGTTGGAAGTTGGGGATCAGGTGCTGGGGTTATACATAGAGAGCCACTCTGTTGGAGCCTCCATGTTCTGCTGGCTTAGGACTCACCTGTTTATGCTAAGGTCAGGCAGCTAAGATTCAGAAGCACAGGTTTTACTCCCCCTAGAACCTTGGTCAGTCTTTAAAAACTCTGTGAGTTGAGTTTCTATACGAAGTAATAACTGAACTGTCTCATAAAATCTCCAATTTCTAGTACACAAGAAAGAAGATATTTACAAAAATATCAAGAAGGCTGAACCCAGGCTGACCGGCTCATGGGAAGACCCCGGCCTTGGCGCCCAGCCTGCAGCTAACTGAAGCTGGTGCTAGATCGCTTCCCACTCTATGCAAATTAGAAAAAGGTGCCCCCTGCTGGGTGATCAACACCCTTTATTTGTGAGCTGTGACTGCCCCTTTAGGATATATATAAATAGCTTTCCCTTATCTTCTGCAAAAAACAGGAAGCTTTTAGTTTGGTCAATCTCAAAAATACTCATTTCTCAAAATCACGTTAAAGCACTGTATTCAATTTAAGTTGCTAAGCAGAAAACAAACGTTCCTCTAGATGCTGGGCCCACAGACGAATTGTTGCCTTTGGATAAGATAGAGGAACTCTAGGATTTGAGATAGACGCTAATAATCTATTCAGCTGGGGGTATGGGGGGAAGGTGGTGTTTGTCACCTACCCCCCTGCCTCCTGGTTTTATTTTAAAACTAAAGCCGAGATTCTAATCCTAGTTAAGTCATGCCACTTGATAAATTGTAGCATTATCCAAATGACACCCCCATAGTAAAGATACTTCATAGGAGTAAAAGCCAATAACAAAAGCTTAATTATTTCTTATAAATGCCTAGGGGCTGGCAGTGGAAGTGGTGGCAGTGTGATGTCATGAATATTAAGGATCAAAAGTAATTTTGTGTGCATTTCAGAACTTATTCTGAGCCCAGAATTGCTAAAGATAGAGGCACTTAAAAGTTCTCATTCCAAAGAGTGAGGACTAAGCACCAATAATCCCAGAAGGGTAAGAGAAAGTGTTTGGAATTTAGAGAAAGCACCAAAAATAAAACTCAAAGAAAGGAAATGAAATAGCCAATCCTGTGCTACATTCCTTAATCACTGACTTAAGAATCT